AGATGGATTACAAATTATTTTTCATATAAATCTATCTTTCGTCGAGAATGTGAGTTGAAAAGGGATGAATATACTTGAAATTCTATCGATATTATTGTTATTATTAATCCCCCAATTCTCTCGTATATGCATTTTATTTTTTTCATTATTAAAAGCGTAAAAGTAAACGCATAATTTTATCTTTCGTAGAATTGTCCGGTTATTTGTATATATACACGTCGTGAAAATAATTCGTTCTACGAATTAACGGGATGGGGAGGTTGGGACGGGGGTTGGGATGATGGTCGTAACTGTCAGTTGGACACTCGACTGAATATTCTCGTACGCTTTGACCACTCTTATTCAGTTTACCGGCTACCACTGGAATCATATTTTATTTTCTACGAATGTTACGTATATGCTATACGTGTATTAGATAAATATGTCGATACCGTAAGTAAGATACGTGAGATAAATGGATACTTGAATGAAATAATAATAATAATAATAATAATTAAAGAAAAAAGACGCTGAACTTTAAAGATTAAGTTGCTGAAGAAGTCCCAATAAAGGGACGAAACGTCCAACTCAATCAAATTAAGTTCTACTTCTTTTCATGTCCAAGTTCCCTATGAAATTTTATCATTAAAAAATAATAATAATAAAAATAAAATAAAATAAAAGGGAAGACAAAAAAGAAAAAAAAAGAAATATATATAAAAAATAGGATGGTAATATTCGAAACACGCGCATTTAATTTATCGTATGCCCGCTGCGAATACTGTTTTTAAAAAACCCGCATGATTAAACCGAAATATATATATGGGATTAGTATATGGTTTAACAACACCAAGAGATTCGTTCATCCTCGTCGTTCTCGTTGTCGTCGTCGTCGTCGTCGTCGTCGTCATCGGACAACGAGAAGAAGAACATAATTCGTTGAAAGGGCCTATTGTGAATAAATTGAGTCGAAAGATCGGAACGTTCATGAACAAGATGGATGAACGAATGAACTCGTCGAGTAACGTGTGTACGAGTGTGGAACGATATAGTCGGAGGCATTTTGTGCGCACGAAATTCCCACCACAAAAACCCCATACCGTAGCCAACCCATCGGTGTGTGTATGTGTGTGTATGCTATCCCCCTTTTTTCCCCGTTTGAAAGACCTCGTAGAAGAGTGTGTGAGAGAGAGAGAGACCATCAATTTATTAATCCAGCTAAAGCTCCAAAGCAACGTCATCGGCAAAGGAAGGATCGTGCTTTTGAGGTGTGGTCGTATTTATATATTTATAAAGATAGAAAGAGAGAGAGAGAGAGAGGTAGTATTATTTCAAAAATAGAGAAAAGAACCGAAAAAACCGAAAAAAAAATATTTTTCTGGTGGGTCGCGTCGTTCCATTTTTGGAATTCATTTTTCTCGTTTCTGATATCCACATCGTTCTTTTTATATATATATATTGATCAATACATGTATGAGTAACTATCGATTTTGTATCGAAAAGCAATAGTCCACGATCGATAACGAGAATACTCGGTTAGATATAAAATTATTCTGCAACGCTTGAATAAGCATCGAGTGTGTGGAATTTCAATGTGTTATACTCGATACGTATAAATAAATGTCAAACTGTTGTTATTTCGATTGGTTTTTTATACTTTCGGTGATTATCATCGAGAAGAGTTGGATTCGTTGATTCGTAAAAAAATAGGTTTAAAGATCAAGATATTATAGTAATCATTTCGTTTGATATTATCGTTCGTAACAAAGATACAACTGGATGGGGAATGTGTTTGAACAATTTCTAATGATTTTCTTTTGTTAATTATTAATTATCCTTACTTTTATTTCGCATTATTATTTAAGTTCGACGACCGTGAGTAACGGTAATACGAAACGATGGAATTAAATCTTGGTTGCCAAGCCCGACGTGTTTGCCTTCGGGTTGATCGTAAAATCTTATGGTTGGTAGCCTACTGTAAAACGTATTCACGTATATTATAATTTCTTTCTATTTTCGACGATTAGAATACTTGAAATAACGGAAGAAAAAGATATTAAGTAGAATCGTAATATAAAAATGAAGTAAAATATTTAAAGCTCGTAAAAATAGAATTTAAAAAGGAATAAGTTATATGGTTAACTTGTTAACCAATGATACACTCACCACCACCACCTCGTCTGTGTATTCTCTATGGTTATTTTAGACATGTGTTACGAACGAACCCTCCAAACGGAAGTTACACGCGCAGGAAGTTGTGCCTAGGTTCGAACGAATGCATAAGAACGATTTTCAAAGGGGGCCCCCTTATCTCTCTTCGATCATTTCTACATATTGAATTGATCATTTTTACAAGGAAACCAGTTAAACAAAATAATTAATACGTTTTATATTTTTTCTTTAATTATTTCTACTATCATTGAATTATTTCATCGTCAAATTGTTCAAATGGCAAGTTCTTTGTTTTATTTTTCTACAAAAATGATATATATATCTATGTCTAACAAAGAAGAAAGTGAAATGAAGTGAGTGAGAGAGAGAGAGAGATGACGACAGTGACGAGGCTGTAAATGGAATTAACAGCGTTTGGACGATAAGTGACGTAGTCGCTAGATCTGATTCGATTAGGAAGTATATTTTTCGTTGACGAACAAACGGAGTCAATGTACTGATCGCGTTTTTAAAGATAACGCCCTTGCTTCCATAACTTAATTAAAACAAGATCATATTCCACGAAATAAAAATTCTACTAATTGTAAAAGAATGTATATTCAGTTTGTATAAACAAAGAGACAAATATATTTGTGTTATATGCAGAAAACAGAAATATACATGGAAGATTTAAAAAGAAAGAAAGTGGGTAAAATTATTGTCAAGGCCGCACTTATGGCCCGTTACGAATAAACCAAGCAGAATTTCTGCCCACGCGAAAATCCTGTCGAGTTTGTTTTCAAACGGAAGGAAAACAGGATTCTGCAATCCGTAATCAGAAACTTGACGAATTTCGGACAGTGTGTAGATACACTTTGCCTGTGACTCTGTTAATTAATCAGAATAATTTATCGAAGAGGAATTTCCTAGAAAGATTATACGTATAGAATCAGTTAGAACGGGAGAATAATTTCGGTTCGAAACGTGAATTCAACATGATTCCCGGTTCGTTGCCATGATGTACGCCGCTTTAATTCTCAACTCGGTGTACGCGCGAGCGCTTATACACGCTTTCGAAGGAACGAATCAACGAACTAACACATTTAAGTACTCGTTCCTATCGTCTATGTGTGTATATATGTATGTATGCAGGTCAGAGAGATGGTTAGAAGAGATAGGAGATAGACCAGTCCAGTTTGCAGTCAAGAAGCGTGGCGTAGATATACACACATATACATTTATTCATTTATACATACTTACATATATATATATATATATAATACATATGTAAAAACACGTGAACTCTCTGAGCTTGTGACCTCGGAATACGAGACTTCTTTTTAACTTATCGCATCACGCGTCGTTTTAATTAACGCTCGTAATCTATCTACCTTCCTTCCTTATGACAAAAGTATATTACGTAGTTATGTATATATATTTTAGTATATATATATATATATCCAGAATTGACATGAAAATGGGGATGAAGGTAGGAAGAATTATTATGCGAATAAGAGATAAAGATTTGTGATACTTCCCAGGTACACTCTCTCATATTCAAGAATAGGAAAGGCTTTTTTTATACTCTTTTTGTTTAAACATTTTCTATGTAGATCAAGTTGCATTTACATGTACACACCAAAATATAAATTCGTTTCGTTGTTTAGACGGTTTTAATACCAATGTATATACGTTTATCATGGATTATGGGTTAACTGAGTTAAAACTCGTCCTGTGTATTTCTGCTCATACGTTTCCCGCCATATTCGTTGGACCAATGATTTATATGTTAATTCCCCTTGAAACACAATCCTCATGCACGATTTCGTAAACTTTCATTGTTGGATATTACCGACTTTTCTCTTTCTTTCTCTAATTTTTTGTATTTTGAGTCTCTCGTTTCTCTTTTTCTATTTCTGTTTTTTTAGAGAAGAAAACTGAATATTAGTAGAAGGAATAAAAGATGATTGAAGATACTTATTAGGTTTCATTTTTCGGAATGAAATAAAACGAATTAGAATTGAGTTTTATTCAGTATTTTCTCTCGTCCAAAATTATAATTCTTGATGATAAGGGTTCATAGGGAACTTGGACATAAAAAGAAGTTGAACTTAATTTAACTAAGTTGGACGTTTTATATTTGAATTATTTTTTATGTAAAAAATACATGTTTCTATTATAGATTACTAGTTGAAAATATTTACTTGAAAAGACATTCCTCAGTTCCAAGAAAGGAGAGTGAGAGAGAGAGTGAGAGAGAGACTAATGTAAGATATTCAAATGACGAAAGTTAAGTGCATCGCGTGGCGCATACGCAAGTTATTCGTAAGTCAAAGTAGGCGTCGGGAAACTTGCAAAGCCTTCGACAATACTACTACAGATCCTTTCATGTTTAATCCTCTAAAACTAACAAGAGAAAGAGAAAGAGAATATGAGAGAGAGAGAGAGAGAGAGAGAGAGAGAGTAACGCTTATTTTTGATTCCTTTCGTGAACGATTAAAATGGAAGGAAGAGATTATTTTCTTTTTCGCGTGTTCGTTAGAGACACGTTAAAAATAGTTCATGAAACGTTCAAGCATCGCTTTGTGTCGGTCTACTAACGAGAAGACCCTTTTTTATTTATTTTTTTTTTCTTGCGTTACATTTCGAGAACAATGACGATGTTTTTATAATTTTTGTTTATACAAAAATATTTATATTAATAAATAAATGAATGAATCAATCGCGAGAATGGTTATATGCAATGTTTCTGTTTCTGAAGAAAGGAATATTAGGAATATCAATTGGAATTATTATTTGGAATAGAAATATATTTTGTTAGTTGAAATATATTATTGAACAAACAAACAGGTTTTTAAACAAATTTTCACCTGATCGTTAGTGAACACGCATTTGACGTTAATCCAACGATGTGCTTTGACGGTGCAATTGCATCCGTCCATTGCGCATATCCCTGGCGCACTTTCGGCAAAACAAAACGCTACGTAGCAGCACAGTATAACCATAACAGATATCATTGCACCGTGATTATTATTATTATTATTATTATTATTACACTTATAACCGCCCGAAACACAACCTAACACACTCCATTTCCCATACATTTTTCTATTATTTTCCCCACAAATACGCTGACGAGGATCTTCCCTCTTCTTCTTTTCTTCTTCCTACGTTCCACCAATAATAAAAACAACATGAACAACGAGAGTAGAATCGTATAGACTACTAATACATCAGTTCATTGAACCATCACTCCGATCATCGTTGTCCTTGATCGGACAAGTTAAGAGTTTCATCAATTCTATCATATCCTCGTTGAAATTGAGAAAAAACAATGAACAATGATGGTTGAATCATTTGGATTGATTATTTTCGATAGATCAATTCGAATCAATACAATATATTCCCATTGATCGATACTTTAACGTTGATTCAACAAATCCCGTTTTATTTGTTTTAATCTTAAATACTTTGCTAACACTAGCAACGTGTTTTGAAGGAAAGGAATGGGGAAAATGAGACTTTTCGGTTGGTTATTGGATTGGTACGGGTGTTTTTCTAGTTTTTCTAGGCACGCACGCGGCCGGTTGATTCGTTTGCGAAGAGGCAGGCTAACTAAAGACCAGCTGACGCGATCATGACGGAGGTTGCTTTGAAACTGTGGTCGGTGGCATGCACGATCGGTGTCTCCTCCCCACCTAGAAACCGTGTGCCTTGCTTGCTTGCTTGCTTGCTTGCTTGCTGCTCTTCCTTTTCTCTTCATATCTCTGTCTTTGTCTGTGTCATTGCCTTTAGTCAGTGTATATATCTATAGATATATCTATCTTTCTCTTTTTCTCGTCGTACAACTCTTTCCCTGCCTTCAGGGAGAGCCTTTTAAAAGATAAAAGATCCAACGAGATGTTCGTGAAAGAGAGAAAGAGGGTTCTGTACCCAACACAGGGTTTCGTGTCACGATTTCTTTAGAGAATCGTTCGTGAATAGGAACTTTAAGGTGTGTACAGGTATTCGAACAGGTCCTAGGGGAACCAGAATCTACCACTGATGTTCTTCTATCGAAATCGACCCTGACCAAGTTACAAACTTAATCTATCGTATTTAGTGTCTGTCTGTAATGGATTGGAAAGTATCAATGACATGTGTATTTTATATAATACGTTTTACATATGTGTTACGTTTTATATCTATATACATGCGTGCAACACGCATTGTCTAAAAAGGTTTTTCAAATACGATGGAATTACTATCATGTTACATGGAACCTAGATATTTGTTGTTGTTGCTGTTGTTGTTGTTGCATCAAAATAATTCTCAATGTAATGCATTATAAAAAGACAAACAAAGAAACAGATTAAAAGGATATTTTATAAATTGATTATGAACTCGTAGAAATGATATTTTAAACCTAACATCTTCGTTATAGGTTTTCATAATAGTCTGACATTTTCTTGAAAACGTTTTACCTTAATATTTCTTCCCTTTTATGAGCACAAACCTGACCATTTAATTTCCCATGAGAAATTGCGCGTGTCCGTAGTTCAAGAATCCCATACCTACCCAATTCTCTTTCCTCTCACTTCAGTATACCTATTCCCTATGTCTCTATGACGCACATGTGCAACTTCCATTCATTCATAACGTCATTCTCAAACTGGGAAGCACCTGATGCTATTTGAAGTGGCCATTTTCGAAATGGCCACGTGCTGACCATACGTCAGCCAGCTGGAGGAAATAGAGTGAGAGTGAGTGAGAGAGAAATATATGACGAGCTTAAAGCCGCACAGTCAATTTCGAACGATCGATCGTAGAATCGCATGTCCTCGTCAGGTTTTACCCCTATCAAAAGCTTTTCACGTTTGGATCATCGATCTGCTGTTCCCTCGCATATTACTTCGAAGGAACGCGAAATAAAATTTTGCCGTAGGTTCTTGCCCTGGGGTTATTTGTTATGATCGTTACTGACAAATTTACGTGCCTTGGGTGTTACTTTACGTTTTTAAAAAGTGTAGAATAACGATCAAGAATATTCATATACCTATTACAAAACTTTTCGGTATTTATCGTTTTCATAATATATAATTTTATAATAAATTTCATATTAAAAAGGAAAAAAGAACTTTTCAAAGAAATTGAAAAGATGCACAATTTACAGCATTGCATTCTCCGATATTTCCTGAACTTTACATGCTAAATTTCTAACTCGAAAAAGTATTGTACGCGTAAAACAAAGAGTGTACTTTAATTTAATATAAAATTCATTAAAATCCGTTTGCTATAAGTATTAAAAATATTTAAAGTATATTCACGGGAACAAATCGCAGTTTAATGTTAACTTGTAGAAAATACAGTGTATAGTCAATCAAAAACAGATCAACTTTTGTTTAAAGTATTTTTATGTCAGGTTATTGTAAGTACTTGAAAAATCGTTACTAGAGTTATGTGAAACACCCTGTATATTTGAAGATTTATGTAATGATTAAGAAATGAAATTTAAATGAAAAATACGTATTCAGGAATATTGTCTGCTACGTATGATTCGTTTTCGGTTTTGGGATTCGACGAGAAACGAATCGAAAACTGAAAGGTTATCTAAATCTATAAGGTAACTAAGTGAGTGACAGTTTGAGGCTGCTGAGAAGAGAATTGCGATGTGATTACACCTTATTAGGGATGAGTCGATCGTTCGTCAGGGGAAGCAGCGATTGTCTGGCTGTTATAAGAGCATCGTCCTCGGTTCTGTGTGATCTATCCAAGCGAGTTCAGCAGCTAATACCAATTAAGGTTATCGCGAGTCTGAAACTTGTTTTAACGAACCTGTTACCTGCATTCATTCTCAATTTGCCCAAGTTTTTTCTACTTCCTTATCTTCTGTATTGTTTCATTTCATTGCCTCGAATTGGCTTCCTCCTCCTCCTCGTTCCACCTCCACCCAATTTTTCTTCTCTCCTATCCGAAAAAAAACAAATAGAAGTTGTTTAAGAAATTGTTTTTATATAATTGAATTTATCTGACAACCTTTGAAAAAATCACGAGAAATGTGGTACAATACAATCACACTACAGTTCATTTCTTTTTTATTGATTTTACAGTTGTCACTCAAACGAACGACTTTTCTTGAGAGATTTCGTTTCCTGTTCAACCGGCACGAGTGGAGGTAGATTGGCGAGATGGCTTCAACCGGACAGCTTCGTGGATCCATCCCAGTGCGAGGCTCTTTATTCGAGAGAGGAAATGAGATGCGGATGGCCCGCTATTGTAACCATACTCACCAGGGACCAATACGGCGAGATTGTGCACGTGCCCGGTTTGAAGGTGAAAAGCAATTTTCAATAATTCATGACACTGAACCTCTACACTCACTATGTATGTGTGTGTATATGTATCGTGAAACGTGTGTTGCTTTTTATCTAGAACAACGTAACAAAATTTGCTCTTTTCCCATAATATTACTATCATTTTATATTTTTGTTTGTCCTTTTTATTATTATTATTATTATTATATTTCTGTTAGATCGAAGTAAAAGCAATTCCCATCGACAAAATGGATTTAACTGGTACGGACCAAGGTAGAAAAATTCGTCGAGTTTCTCAATCGGATCCGTTGACATTCGGTGGTCATCCACAACCGAATTTGGATGTGCCGTACGAGGCTACGATAAGCAACAAAATGTGTTTCTATTCGATTACCATGATGAAGGCATACGAAAATTATTCCTTCGAAGAGTTAAGATTTATGTCACCGACTTTTAAAAGATCAAGCGAGAGTATGTTGGTCAGACCAAACAATGATGGTAGTTACAGTGCTACCTGGACACCTTGTTCAGTTGGCTGGTATTCATTAATGATTACCGTGGATGGTTACAATATGGAAGACGTGAGTTGTTTATTTGAATCTTATTTCTTTTTTTAATCTTTCCTTAAGATTCTTTGTTCTTTATATCAAGAATTTAATGATTATTATTATCTTTAGAATTACAAGGTTGAAGTGAAGGAACCTCCTCAAGGTATGCAGCCACCGGCTCAAAATATCGTGAAGAAACACCAGCAACAACCGAGCAAAGTTAGAAAGTTTGTTTCTAAAAATAGTGCCGGCTTGAGAATCAGGGCCAATCCTTCGTTGCAGAGCGAACAAATAGGTTCCATTCCCATCAATGGTACCATATCGTTTGTGGACGAGGTAAATCTTCTTCTTAAACGTTTATTCATTGTTGTTGTTGTTGTTGTTGTTGTTGTTGTATTGTTACCATTGTTGAAACGACTATCAAACTTTTCGATTACAATTTCTATCGATTTCGGAAGGTACACAACGACGACGGTGTATGGCTGAGATTGAGCGCAGAGACCATAAAAGATTATTGCAGTAGCACTCAGTTGGGAGCATGGTGTCTGCAATACAATCAACATCTAGGAAAAACCTTATTACTTCCAGTAGAGGAACCTAAATCGATTTTAGATCAGGCCATGAAAGATATCATTCTTCGGAAGAGAGTGGATTCTGCCGAAGAGTAACTAGACTTTTATATTTTTCCACGGATAACTCGATTTAACGTTTACTCAAACGTGTGTGTAAGTTTCTCAACCTCGTTTTCAGCAAGAGGCAGTCGGTCCGTTTGGCGAGTGGTAAAAACATGGTCGTCGTGAAATGCGGAGCCTCGGGACATAATATCAGAAGCAAACCCAGTTTAAAGGCTGCGCCTGTTGGAATGTTGGCTCTTGGAAATACAGTCACTATTTTAGAATACGTAAGCATTATGATTATTTAACAGAAAAAAGAAAAAAAAAACCTGATGTGTAAGAAATTATACTTCTTTAGCGTAATCAAAACGAACAAAACCTAAATAACCTCAAAAATAATTTCAATTTTCCCGCGCATCGACAAGTTCGTGGTGTTGATTTTTCGGTTGCATCTAACTTCACTTTCCAAAACGCGCGCCAAAAGAAGTATAACTTCAAAAATAGATAGAAAATGTTGATACGTTGCCACGAATTTGATCGTTCGTTGAATATTTTCACAGTTCACCAATAACGAGGGTGCTTGGGCTCGTATCGATGACGAGTCTTCAACTAAATATTGCTTTGACAAGAATCGTTGTATCGAGAGTGAAGTTTGGTCCCTAGCGATTAATAAACACGGAGTGGAATACATGAAATTCGAGCAAGAACCTGAATCCGATCCGGTGGAAAAGAAAATAGCATTGCCCGATCATCAGTCTGTGCAGTTGAAGGATCAGAAAAACAAAGGCTTTGATTTTTCGGTACCATCCGTTAGTCACGAGGGTTTCAACTTTACAACGCAGAACTTTACTCCAGGTACGGGAGATTCTGGGGAAAATACCAACACGAATCCCTTTGTTTTTGGATCGTACAATCAGCATGATTCACCAGGTATACTACGTTTTCGATAATGATACAGGGGAAACAATTATTAATTTGATTAATGCATTCTCCTCATTGATTTGACGTTTTACAGGTAGCGAAAAATTTGCATTAGACAAGACGGACGTCTCGCCGAAGTTTTCTAAAGCGCACTCGAAAGAAAGGGTCGTTAAGGAACGGGAAAGAGAGGGTGGTGGTGGAAAGTTCAGCGTTTTGCAGAAATGGTTGAGAGGAGACGACAAAACTCATGCCGAGAAAAAAAGTTCTCCGGGCAGGTAAACAAACAACAAAATAATTTT